TTAAAAGGGGAGTAGCTCTGGGTTAGTCCATGTTTTGTTCCTACAGCAAAAAATGTAATAGGTGGTACGAATGGATATCGTAGAAAGCTTAGAAATGAGATATCGTTTGTGTTGATCATCGATGGAAAGAGAGTGACACATTTCAAGGAATGAGCTGCATGAGTCGCCGAAGATGCCAAGAGAGCTGATGGAGAGATTTACAAATATGACAGATTTGAACCTTGGTCTTAGATCTGAGACAAGGCGAGCATATTTTGAACGTTTCCTTTCTGCATTGCAGTTAAGGTTAGTTTCAAATCCTATCGTTAGTTCCAAAACATAAAGAATGTTTTCCTTTGTACGCAGAAGTAGATCTGGGCGCAGATTGTCTCCAGTTATGATGGATGGTGAGGAGAAGCCAGGTATATCGGCAAAAAGAGAGGATCCCTCTATTGCTTTCAAGGAGGTTGCAAGAAAATTTAGAGCAGAATTATGACGCCAGGTATAACGACCTTGTTCGAGATAAACTTTGCAGCCTGCAACGACATGAAGTAAAGTTTCGGGAAGAAGGCAGAATTCGCAATCAGATGATTGGCTTAGGTTCCAAAGGCTTAGATTTTTGCGCGTAGGGAGAGTATTGTTCAGGTACTTGATGGTGAAGTTGAAGATGTTCGTGGGTAGGTTGCTCTGCACAACAGACCAAAGACCATTGAGCTTTTTAAGAGTGTGGTCCAACAGAAATGAAATAATAGCACCCTGGGATAGTAATTGGTATGCCAAGCGCTCTCTACTGTCTGATTTTACTGCTTTCAGTACATCTTTGACGGTAAATGTCGTATTGCAGATTCATCCCACTACTGGTGTTTTTCCATAAAGCTTGAATGTTTGTGTTAGGAGAAGTTCGGAGGGCATTGCGTGAAACAGTTTGGCATTGAGTGAATTTGACAGAAGGTAGCTGAAGATCGAGACCAAATTGATTTTTAGAAAGAACTATACTAGTTAAAGTAGCACTTATGGGAAGATCAAGCCACTGGCGAATGTATTTAGAGACAAGATTATCGAGGTTCTCAATGACCCAGGTCTTCGATAGGTCTGCAACAGTGAAGTGCCAAGAAACTTTGGACAATACATATCTGTGGTACAATAGAAGTTTATTTTTGGGATGCAGAGGCAAGTCATCAATTTCTTTCAGAAGGCTGGGAAACATTGATAGCAGTTTTTCTTTATGACTGCCGTTGGTCATTTCGAAGTCAAAGAAGCGGCCGAGGTATTTGAAAGATTCTCCATTTTTAACAACAGGCACGCTTTGGTTGTTCACGAAAAGCTTTGGCTGGAACTGAAGAGATCTTGTTGAGTATTTCTTAATGCCAAAGGTGACACATTTATCCACCCTTATTACAAAGTTTGCCCACTGACACCATCTTGTAAAGCAGTTTAACAGGAGCTGGTTCTCCTTTTCACCACTAGTAACAACCGCAGCATCGTCAGCAAATTGGAACCAATGCACTGGCTGGAACATGCGATCGTTTTCGTCGTGGGGAGAGAAGCCAAGCTGTTTATATTTTTCTGCTTTTATGTATTGAATATACGTATTGAAGCATAGATTAAAGATAAGAGGGCTGAGGCAGTCACCTTGAAGAACACCACGACAAACGGGAATGGCAGGGGTTTGGAATGTATCTGTGAGGATAGAGGTCTTGAAGCCCGAATATAAGCTGGAGACCAGAGCCTGAATATGAGATGGTATATGATGGTACGAAAGAATAGTGGGAATCAAATTATGGTGGACCTCGCCGAAAGCATTTTTGAGATCAAGCAGGGTAACAACCAAAGAGCGCTGTTTTGTGCGAGCTTTATTTATCATATGACCCATAAGTGCCGTGTGTTCTAAAGTACCTGATATCTTGGGAGTGAAGCCTTTTTGAATTTGGCGTTCAATGAAACCATTTTGTTTCAGAAAGTTGAAAACAGAGTTACGTAGGCAGGAGGTGAAGATTTTCAAGGGGACAGATTCTAAGGTTATTGGTCTGAAGTTAGAAGGATCATCTGTATTGTCTTTTTTGTGGATCAATATCGTTGATGCTTTTTTCCATTCGGATGGAACACTGCCAGATACCCAAATGCTATGAATAATTTTGGTGAGGAAAGATCGTAGGTAAGGGCAACGTTTGAAACAAATGATGGATATCTTATCAAGGGGACAGGGAGAAGTGGAGGATTTCATGCGACGTATAATAGAAGTTATCACTTGATATGATGGAGGTTGTGTGTCAAATGGATAGGATGGTTCATCGAAAGAAGGTATCCAAGAAGGAATAGTGAATCGTTTATTTGGATAAAGGGCAGAAAAAGCATTACTAAAGTACTCGGTGCACCGTGTAGCAGAAAATGATGGCAGAAGTGATGATTTACTTTGAAAAAAGCGTTTGACGTAACTCCAAAAATTTTTAGCGATGTATTTATCATGATCAATTGTGTCAGAAGTATTTGTTTGTAGAATGTTTGTCTTGAGCTTCTTTCGAATAAGTCCAGATACGTATTTAATTTCAAGAATGGGGGCTTTAGAATATTTAAGAGCCTTTAATTGTTTTTTCAAGCTTTTAATTGAGTGGTCCTTGTATTTTGTAGACAGGTCTTTGTTGCAGTTTTCAATCACACCACATGTGTCCCTAAAATGATCATAAATCGAATCCATCATCAACCTGGTAACGTTATCAACTGATGACTCATTTATGGACACATCTACAAGTGCAGATTGAAAATACGAGTTGGCGAGTAACCATTCATTGTCAGAACTAGGTAGGCGAATTCCTGGCTTTATTTCAAAATATTCCTCAAGAGGCACATCAGGGTTGTCATTGGTATCCAGATCATCATCAGTCACAATTTCATGCAGTTGCTCTTCGCCAAGCCCTTTCAAAACCTTACAATTTCTCTGATGAATGCGGAGGCCTTTGATCCCTTTGCAGGACTTGCCACAGCAGCACTTAACACATTGTTGACTGTTCAAAACAACAGAATTTGATCTGGTGTTAATCAATGGAATGTTAATTGCTCCATCGGGTCCAGTATCTTTGCTGTGAATCTGTCGTTTACAGCGCCATTGATGTCGGCCTAACGTAACAAAGTCCTTTCCACAAAACGAACAAATGGTAAATAGAATGAGAATTGAGATAATATAAGATCGAACCATGTCTTTCCAAAGTCCTTTAACCGTTATTGATCGATTGACTGAAACAATTTATAGAAACAAATAAATCCAGGCTTGATAAATGAAGTTAAACCGGAGCCGTGTACAGCAGCGTCCGCACGCGACCGCTCTACGACTATCATAATAATAATAATAATAACAATAATAATAATACCTTTTTACTGTTAGTTTGACAATAGTGTGAACACTAATAAACACTAACATGAAGCAATTTAAGAGATTGCATTATGGAAGTCATTGACTGCCAGCGTTACAGGCGCATTGATTTTCGAAATACCAACATTTTATAAGAACTTTGAATTGATTTGCCTTTTTGGATGATTTCACTCAGGGTTGCCATTTGGCCGTTTTGACGGCCATAACAAAGAAAATGAAAAATTAAGCATAGAAAATATTCAACTTTTTGTTAAAATAATCTCAAAGTTACGAATAACGAATCAAGAACCAAATTAAAAGATAGCAGAAAATTGAGATTGACAGAATGTGGGAGCTTTCGTAACAAACAAAGCCACTTTTGATTACACTTTTATTCCACGGAATTGGCAAAAATATAGATTTTTTATATTTTTTTGGCTGGCCGAATTTGGCCGTCAAACGTGAAGTATTTGGCCGCCAACCATTCCAAGCATCTGGTAACCCTGATTTTGCTTCATTTGAAAGAGAATTCCAAATCTTTGGGCCTAAATAGCTAATAGATTTGATACCATAACTTGTAGTTTTAACCTAGGGCACAGATAGAGTATCAATTCTTCGAAGATTATAGTTAATGGGTCTTGGCAGAAAATGTCCTCATGAAGGCTGGATTCAAGTTGTGCAAATTAATTGTTTCTTGCTGTTTAATTGCAGCAAGGAAATTTCACGAATGTCTGTGGGTGGATTCATTGAAGCAATGTGTTCGCAGATAGAAGACAAAGTTCGTCACAAAAGGTGATTTAGTTTTGATATCATGACCTAATCGAAAAAATATCATAAATAGATCATGACACCATCCAAGCACTAGATGATTGCATCAAAAGAGATTCCCACGCTATCGAAATTTAATTCATTTCTAAATTAAAGATGCTATTAGCAGGTATTACAGTTTTAGGTGATTACAAAATCAACGTTTTATTGACGTCATAGTTCAACAATGACGTCATCAAGTGATTATATCGACATCGAAACATGATAATTTCGTCATGATGCTATTACGTTACACCTAGACTATGATTTTGACGTCACAGTTCAACAATGACGTCATCAAGTGATTATATCATCATCAAAACATGATAATTTCGTCTTGATGCTACTACGTCACACCTAGACTATGATTTTGACGTCACAGTTCAACAATGACGTCATCAAGTGATTATATCGTCATCAAAACATGATAATTTCGTCTTGATGCTATTACGTCACACCTAGACTATGATTTTGACGTCACAGTTCAACAATGACGTCATCAAGTGATTATAACGTCATCGAAACATAATAATTTCGTCATGATGCTACTACGTCACACCTAGACTATGATTTTGACGTCACAGCTCAACAATGACGTCATCAAGTGATTATAACTTCATCGAAACATGACAATTTCATCATGAGGCTATTACGTCATACCTAGGTACTTACGTTAACGTCATAGATAGAAAATGACATCACCAAGTGGTTATATCGTCATCCAAAGCCGAAAGCTTTTTGTTGTCCAAACTTCGACGTCTGTCAAGTCTAAAATGCTCCCAAATTCCTTCTTTTGAAAGTTAAAGCATGAATTTCCTTAAATGCCGTATACATTTGTTATTTCTTATCCTTCTTGCATTGTGCAGTGATCTGAAGTTTGTGCTTTATTCCGGACACGATATGACAATGATGACAATGTTGTATGTGCTTGGCGTCTATGACTTTAAATGGCCTAAATATGCAGCTGATGTCAAACTTGAGCTCTACCAAGACAAGGTTTGTTTCTTCTCCCCACCTTAAATGAATACATCATGTACATATGTAAATGGAAATTAGGCTTAAACAACAGTAAGTGGTTTCTTAGCTGCACTGTGCCAAGGGCAAATTTAGGATCATGGCCTATACCATCACAACCTATATTGCCATACCTATATTGATGTGTTTTTTATATCTTTTCATTTCCAAAATTCGCTATGAAAATCGTTTCGGCTATTTTGATTCTGACAATTTTGGTACTGATTTTCAATTTTGTTTTCCAGAATCAAGACTGGTTTGTGAAGCTTCTTTACAACGACAAGGTAATCGGCATTTGATTGTTGCTGCTGTTGTGCTGCCTTTGCTATTGCCATTGTCTACGTTGGTGTTGTAGCTGCTGCTACTTCTTTTCGTTGTTGCGGTTGTTTTCAATATTATAACTTTTTGTTGTTGTTGTTGCTGCTACTGCTGGGTTTTCTTGCTGTTGTTGCCGCTGATGGCACATATATAGCTTTTAAATGTTGCTGTTGTTGCTGCTGCCTTTATTGTAGTTACTTCTGCTGTTTGTCCGTTGTTGTTGTTGTTGTTGTTGTTGTTGCTACTGCTCTTCTTCATGTTGTTGTTGCTGTTCTTACTGTTTATGCTCTCATCGTATCTGTTTTAGTACTACTTGCTTATTCATAGCAAAATTCCAGGTAACCGTTGAAACAAAAACCTGCATTTTTCGTAAGTGACGTTAAACATTTTTGCCATAGTACTAAGCTTATGTAACAAAGAATTCACTATTCACTTATTTACCTAGGCCTGTTGTATTTTAGAATATTTTAGAATTAAATGGTTAATGCACAATTTAAGGTGCAGCACTGTGTGTGCACCATTTTAATAAATGGCAGCTCAAAGCTTTAGGCGCGAGAGGTCTCAAGATGGAGAGACTCGATCAGCTTCATCGTGCTGATGTAGGAGAACAATAGGTTGTTCGATCCAGTCTTTTCTTGAGATCAGTGTTATTTACACGTAACTCATTTAGCTTAATGCAACTAAATCATCAACTAATAAATCTGAACAAATTATCTATTGTAGAGCAGGTTACACTCTATAATTGAAAATTTGTTTGTTGCTTGTTATAGTTTTTATCCTAAAATACACCTCGTTTTACATTTCATCAGGATTTGACCCTGCCAGGGTGTGGAACGCCTGTTTGTCCTCTTTCAAGGTAATGACATTTTATTGCTTTATTGTTTTTACCGGCAATTGTAGGCCGTCTTTTTTTGCTTCTGGGGGGGGGGCAATCTTTTTGCTTCTTCTTTAGCGCCCCAAATTTTACCAAACAACTTTACAAAACTATTAGCCTTTAATTTTTAGAAGTATAGTTTTTCTGTTGAAATTCTAATGATCATGATGCATTATTGTTAAACAGATAAAACTCAGTGGCGTAACGGCCCAAAGTTACCTTTAGTTAAATATCAAAGGGTCTCGAACTTTTGGTCGCCTCCAGTAATAATTGTTCATTGCTATTTTTCCTGGGGGACGAAAGCTACTCGTTACGCCACTAATAAAACTATTTGGCATAATGATAACAGCCTTGATAGAGCTGTACTAAGGATATACTTATCTGGGAGACTCCAGGCACCGCGGAGCAGGGGGGGGCTGGGGGGGGGGCTTTAGCCAGAAACCAGAAAAGCCTCTTTTTATACGGTTCTATCCTCCCCCCTTTTTTTAGACCCCCCCCCACTCTTCCCAACGCTCTGCGGTGCCTGACTTTAAAACCTAATCGGATGATCTTGCTTGGCTTAGGCCCTTGTAGGTATAAATGTGCCTGGTTTTTGTGTTCATAAATCGTAGCCTATGTGCCAGATCAAAACGCATGCTTGAGCATCTCGCTTTAAGATCATTTAAACAATTTTCAGGTTTTTGGAACTTTGTGAGCCATATCGTGTGAAAGACTGGTATGCAGAATGTGGCATCAAAGGAGAAGGGGTAAAAGAGAATGTCCCTACTGGTATTATGTAAACAACAACTGCCATTATGAGCCCCAATGGTATCAATATTAAATCTGGCGTGCATACTGCAAAGTACTTTGAACGGCAATACCATCACGTACATTACATCTTATGAATGAAGGACAATACTTTTTGGAGACTCTTCTCAAGCTTTCTTTGAAAACACATCTTTTTAGATATCCTTAGAAGCACATCTGTTTTGTAGATCGATTTTAGTCCCAATTGTTCTTTATAACAAGCTAAGGGGAGGGACAGGCAAAAAGAATGATTTTCCTGAGAAAATTTTAAAATCCTGTTTTCAAAATGTACAAGAAGATGCCTTTCCCAAAAAATTTCCAAAAAATTCGCAGGCCCATGAATACGTAAAAGATGGATCACACCTTTGAAGATATAGTCAGAACAAAGGCTTACTGGAGCCCTCCTCCACACAGATCTTTTTATATGGGTTCCTTTACTCACAACGTGCTGAAATATATAGCGTAAAGCTAAGTACATTATAAATTACGTGATTAAGAGGCTGTTTGGTGTATAGAACAGGACAGCTCTAGGTTCTGAGTTTCACGCTTAAAGCCTGATTACCACTAGGCGAATTCTTTCACACGAATCGAATAAAGATTCATGGCGATAAAGTAGGAGCGTGATCTACTTTCTACGAATCGAATTTTTTCGCTGTGAAAATTGAGAACATGACACCACGCATGCTCATTCTGGAAAAAATTCGATTCGCGCGAAAGAATTCACCTCGTGGAAATCAGCCTCAATGCAATCATCAGGTGACAGTTGATTAAGAGGCTAGTTATGAAAAGGAGGATACTCCAATTACACTGATTAAAAGGCTGTTTGGTGTATAAAACAGGGACAGGGGACGGGGGGCAGGGGACAGGGGACAGGGGAAGGGAGACATGGGACAGGGGTTTTGTTTATTAGTGTAAACATGGTTAATGTATTCCCCAGTAGGTATGTACGATATTTATTAATTGTTGAGAGTGCAGAAATTAGATGTTTATAAATTATCACTTTATTCTGCGTTTCCCAATATAGTTTCTTATTTACTTATTTATTTATATATTTAAGTGCATATTTTCATTTAAATGCAATGTTGTTTTGACGACGTTACCTTGCCTTCAATCTTTTTTGCCTTCTCTAGCTTTCTTACTTGTTTTGTTTTTCAATTGAGCTGTTTTACATTGCGACGTCGCGATCAGGATGACGTCATTTGTTGGAAACTGGTTACTACTACTATAGTCCTCAGAAATGTTGCGTCACAGAAGATGTTTTTTTCGAATTTTGGTTAGGTGGTTAGGATTACGAGCTACAGATCCAAGAGTTCGTGGTTTGAGTCCCTGGCATGACCCAACTCTGACCCGGAGTAAGAGAGGTCGCCAGCTCTCTGCGGTACCAGTTACACTATACCGGATTGCTATCAGAGCGGAGTAACTTTCGTATCGGACAGGGGTTTGAGTTGCACTACGCCACAAAAATCAGAAAATCACTCCGCTTTGGAGGTGATACGAAAATCACTCCTGAGTCACTCCGTAGCGGAGCGCTGTAGTGTATTCGCACGAATCCGATATGCTCCACTTCGAAACAAAGGATTTTCTTATTGTTTTCTGCATGAAACAATTCGATCGTTGGTGAACAATGGCGATTTCTGAGATTTTGTTGCTGTTGGATAATGCCAGACTGAAATCGTCCCAACACTTTCGTATTTGGATTTCATCTTTTCCCGAATTTTAATGAAGTGGCCCTTGGTCGAAAAACACATCAGATAGCAACACAATCTCGCTGTCCGTCCTACGAAACCCATCATTTATCTCTCAGTTTCATGGTTGTTTTCGTCATTGTATGCATAGCTATTGAAAACGAATTCGCAACAGCACATAGATTCGAAAATATCACCAAAAGATTTAATCTGATGGATTTTGTGTACCAGAAATGCAAAGGAATACAGGCTTATGAGCGAGCGGAGCGTCGTAGTGTAACTGCTACCCTAAATCCTTAAAGTTACTCCGCTCTGCTCCGCTCCGATAGCTATCCGGTATAGTGTAACTCTAGCCAAAGATTGAAACTTTTTTCCACAGATGAAATCGATTTGTAAAGGGAAAGGGAACGTAAAGAGAAAGGCCGGTTATAAGGCACTTTTGTAGATTTGAATTGTTCTTAATTTGTAACACAGAAGAATATATAAATGTATTGAAAACTGTTTACTTTATAATTGGTCTATCACAACAATGAATGGTTCCAAAGACAGGCCGGCTGAAAAAGTTAGATTAACTAAATTCTTTGAAGCAGACCAGAAGCTTGCTCCTTTCCCTCGAATAATTAGCCAATCATATATACTCTTTTCTCATAAAGGTATTGCACCACCTTCCTCAAAATGGCAGCACTTTATTGTCAATTTTTCAACCATATCCAATATTTGAATCCATGATTTGGGTGAAATCTTAAGTGCCAAAATTATTAGGACGATCGGCTCAAAGCAAATGTGGTTAACCCTTTGCTCAAAGAACAACATAGAAATTCGGTGGAACCTAACAAGATTACTGGTTGAGATTTTTAATTGCAAACTTATCAAATTGTAAAAATTAACATGTATTCAATAAATTGTAAAAAATAGCCTTTTTATACAGGTACTAGTTGCTTTATTCTATATTTTGTCGGATGACCTCCAGGGATCTGGCAGCCGCCATTTGTACTTGTCACTCACTGAAATAATTTTGCAGCAAAATATCCTCGAAAATTCTAAAAGAGCTCATTTTTGGTCTGAGAAGATTTCATTGCTCGGAATTTTTTTATAATAAATAGTTGTTTTCAATTACATCAAGGCTTTGACGGGGTTATTGAAAGACCTCGATGCTATGTATTAATGTCCTTCCTTGATCGGAGGGTATACCAACTATTGGGGTATAGAAATGGTTGGAGATGTGGGCAGTGTATTTATGTGCTGGTGATATCGTTGAGGTTGGTGGGGCGTGAAAAGAAACGCGAGGGTGAGGGGTGCAAACCCCTGTTCAGAGGTGCCAACTTCACACAACAGCAACAACAATATATATATATATATATAATCACACATTCCGTTGTATTTACAACATTGTGTACATCAAATAGTGAAAAAAAAGTTAGTTTCTCAGGCTTCGTTTGACTGTTCTTCGCCACAACACTCGATCCTGCACCGCTCTTTCAGCTTCATTCCATCCATCTAACTGCATATCTTTAAAGTCTTTGGTCATTGTTTGTGTTATCCATATGTACTTTTTTCTTCCCCTATGGGCTCTTCCAGGTCTTCTAGCTTCTCTTAAAGCCTTCTTTACAGGTGTTTCATCATCTAGTCTCAGCATGTGACCCGTCCATCTTCTTCGTTTTTCTTTGATTTTGTCCACCCATGATGTCATAACAGCAATCTTGTCAATTTCTGTGTTCTTTTTCTTTTCTTGCCATTTTACTCCTAGCATCCATCTCAGAATTCGATGTTGGAAGCCTGCTATTTTCTTTTCTAGAGTGGTGGTGACGTTCCATAGCTCAGCATTGTACATGAAGATTGGCTCTACTAAACTTGATAGTATCTTTTTCTTGGTGGTGATGCTTTTTCCTTTTGTCCAAATATGTTGCAGTTTTGACATCGCGGTTATTGTCAATCTTCTACTGTTTTCATAGTCAGTTTCTGTGTCAAGGTAGCTTCCTAGGATTTTGCATTTTTTCCAATCAGTTGTCTCACCTCTCTTAATCTTGAATATCTCAGTCTTGTCATTGTTCACATTCAGATTTCTGTCTTTTAGCCTGGTGATGGTTTTCTCTATTTTCTGTTTTCCTTTTTCTGCATTTTCATGTATCCAACCACAATGATGACAACAGCAACAGCAATGAGGTCGCGAGCAACAACAACTACTGTGAAACCATTACACTTACTTTCTATTTGAAGTTGGAACATTTTTAGGGGACAGATTGTTTAATGTGGTAATGGCTTCAGGGGCAAAGAGATTGATTGTGTTTGGCGGAGGTATAGCCTCTTCGTTGCTTGTTTTCAATGCAGTAGACAGAACCTTTTACAAAAAGCGGCAAATTCAAAACTCTTTGCTGGCCGATGCTTCGTTGGCGGGAAAGGTGAGATTTCGCGAAATTTTATACATATGGTTAATCTGTAATTTTCTGTGAACCAGAGAGTTCCCTCGAGACATTTTGTGTGCCAGTGGCACTGGTTCACCTGTGTCTTGTATTCTGTGACTGTTTAGCCATAGAAATGCACCACAATTTTTGGCAAACGAATTTGTTTTAATAGGCCAGGCCATTATTCGGCGAAGGTGAAGGATCCGGTTCGGATAATCCGATTAACCTCGTGTCATACACGTCAAGGAGTTTTTTTGACTACATCAACGAATCACAGGTCGCCTAGGGTCAGGGAACGCTCTCCTAGGAACATGACATCAAGGAAAACATGGTAGCTCTCCGGATTGTTCATGTCCGCCCATTATTCCATCAAAGTAGGATTAATGAAATATAAACCATTGCATATAGAATTTAAGTATTCGCGATTATTACAAAATTTATTTTTTATTCAAGGAAGAAATTAGCTTATTCATAATTTCCAATTATGCAGTTGGAAGAAATTTTTTTATATCTCTGTAAAAGTGCAAAGGTCAAGAGAGAAAGCATGTGCAACTGTTTTCAACCCTAAATTTTGCCGTTTTAAAGTAAATTTATGTGCAGATGTACAAACATAAGGGAAAGGATTATATCTGCAGGATTTTTTGCTATCTCTGACTGTAGAGTGTTTTTTCTGTGTGTGGAGCAGCTTGGAATCCATGTAGCCTACACCAGAGATATCTGGCATGGACCCAGCTCAGAATCCATGTACACTGCCTGCCAAAAGTCTTGGAATACTGACGTCAGTTTCCAAGGTCAAAATCAATCATCCTCCTCTCCCCTACAGAACAATGTTGGTTGACTATCAAACGGTTTAGGGTTTTAGGAAGCACTTTTTTTGCACTTCTTTTATGATATTTCTCTAAATCATCAACATTGTTTTAGGGGGAAGGGGGCAGAAGTAGCAATTTTTTTCATGAAAGGTATGAAGGATATCAAATGCAGCATAAATTGCTGGGTGTTCCAAGTACTTTTGGCAGGCATTGTAGCCTACACCAGAGATATCTGGCGTAGACTACTGGTTTCCATTGTCTTTCTAATGTTTATTAGCTCATAACTGGCATAAGCTTCACATTCCATCCTGGCATGGGGAATGCTAGAACAATAATTTTAGGTTTTTGAATACAAATTATTTTTTGCAAGAAATGGTGCCCAAAATTTGTAGCAAATTTTGTAGATATATTGTATTCTTTTTTTGTAATCAGAAGCCAGAAGCTAAATGGTGTAATATTTCCAGGAAAAGAATAAAAATATCTTGTATACTGACCCTACACACAGTCTTCAGAGTATAGCAAATGCCCATGCACAGTCAGTGTAATGCTGCACACCAACACTTGAAATTACACACTGAATCTACAAATAGATCAACATTTGTTAGAAAACTTCTGGGTGCCATATAATACTTAAAGGAGGTTTGTATGTGGAAAACATGGCTGAAATGACTTTGTATGCTCTTGATCTTCTCAAGAACTGCTATGCTCTGCAAACTGGTTCTCTGATATGCTCTTTATAATCTGATGGCTGAATAATGGATGAAAATTATTCCACAGATAATACATTCAGCTAAAGACCAAGATTTTAGTTTTTCCCACATCTTGCATCATTTCAGTCCTATGTAGTTCTTAAATTGTTGGGATTCAAGGGGGCAATAGCGTCCTAGGTTAAATTGTGATCTAACGTGCCTAATCAATTTGAGTCTTTTCCTGTATATCATTGCAACATTTCAATTAAAGATTTTGTGTGCTGATAGATAACAGTGTGGGGGTTCAGGGGGCAGTAAAAACCCCAATTGGACATAACTTGGTTAAAGGTTCTTACATTGTGTTCATATGCCCTTATGTGACAGCAGTAACTGGCACGAAAATAAGATGGTACTAGTAAAGCTAGAGGAAGGGTGACACAGGTACAGGAGGGTCAGAATTAAGATATGGTGTATTCTGCTGCTCTTCATTTTTTTGCCATTTATTCAATTATCATAGAAAAAAGCAAAATCATATAAAACAAAGATATTTTGAACTTTCAAAATAAAATGGCACTAGACTGGTACTACTAGTACCGCTGCAAGCTGCTACTGGTATGTGACAATACATATTTTAGATCACAATGTGCCCAAGCACACTCAAACATGACTCAAACATGACAAACTTAATCCCGAATCCCAAATCCACTCTTGTTTGATTTGGCTAATCCCAAAATAGCTGAAATGCTTCTGTTGGTTGTCTAAGTCGAAAAAGATCTCCTTGATTTTCAGGTTTTTACCATTCAATTTTGAAACAACTTGGCTCACTTTTTTTATACATAATGAATTATTGTGCTAAAATCGATTCTTAAACACGAGATGCTCATTCAAGAAGACAGCCTGTAGATTGTAAACTTCAATGTAATTTTCTTTGGGGAGAGTTACTGCACTCTTTTTTAACAATACTACTGATTTTGAAGGCATTGAGTCATGATAAAATGGATGATTTTCATGACTGCGATGCTATTGGTTGACCTTGAACTGGTCACATGAACTCACCGTACCAATTGACAAAACAATTTCCATCAATAGCAAGTTGTCAACAACTGATGCAAGTATCACATGAAACAGCAGCGATCACGCCAAATGACCCCCTATAGAGAAGGCCTATTTACCATGACTCAATGCCTTTAAATCAGGCCTTGCAAGGAAAGGTGCTCGAGCTCTATCAAGTGTCTCTGCACATGCCTAGAAAGCTCGAGAAGCTGGATTGATCAAGCACCTAGTGTGTTTATGCAGTCTAAAAACTAAATGCAAAAAGCCAAATTTTTTATAAATGTTATTTGATATTGCTAAACCAAGCACCTAGAAAGTGGAAGGTGCCCAGTTTGCCAAGCGCCAGCTTTTTGCTCCTCACAAGACAGGTTTAAATCATATTAATTTCAAATACTCTCCCTATTCCTCTTTCCTAGCCTGAAGATCTACATCTCAAACAGGTGATAATTCTTACAAGACATGGAGCAAGGACACCATTTAAATTTATTCCAAATTATGAACCTGCCACATGGCCTGTTGAGGATAATGAGGATTTGGAACACACGTTGATCAATCATACAGTTAGAAGCTTAGATTTCGGAAGCAAGCCAGAATCAGCGATTGATAATGCGTACCGTGATAAAGAACGACTCAAGGTTACTGGTTATTTTCTTTCAAATCACTAATTATGATTATGAATCATTGTAACAATCAGTAAAATCATTAGAATCATTTCAAAACTCTTTAGTCACAATCAAGCACATGACTGGTAAAGTTGTCCAATCAGTGCCATTTGCAATTACTACCAAAAGAGACCCAGGGTGAAACCAGTGGCGGATTTAAGGGGGGCAACTAGGGGCAGTTGCCCCTCCCTCAACGAGTTGAAGCAAGTCTGGCGCCCCTTTTTTAGAAATTGTGCGCCCCTTTTGAAGAATGAGAATCAGATGAAAAAGGTTCTTGGACCGATAGGTTAATTTGTTTCAAGGATTACCTCAAAGTTATGTTGTTTATTCTGAAAAGATATCTGGAATTGTTGTATACAGCGTACTCTCGTAACCTATTCTTGAAATTTTTCAGCGCCCTCACTATCAACTGCCCCTCCTTCAAATTTGCTCTGGATCCGTCCCTGGGTGAAACCAACCCTCTCTGTATGTACGTATAGAATATTCATTAATATTTAGATGGGTTCCAAATCTACCATGACTGTTATCTGCCAGTCATCCAAAACATGGTATTGTAATGTTTGAAAAAATTTGGGTTTTCCAGTGAATCACAAGTTTTAGTTTATGTTTTAAATCTGCAAGACCAATGATGTTCTCTCAGGAGGTAAAGGGGTGGGGGCGAATCTCACTGGGAGCATAGATAATGGAACTCTTTTGGGTTGTAGGAATGCAATCATTTTGAATGGATAGAAGGGCCTTTTTGTACTGTACATAATACGAAGATTTACAGCAAAGAAACATTTTGTAATGGCCTGTTCAATCTGCCTTTCAATATGTTACCGATCCAAGGTAGATAAACTTGGCCAAACTTTAGCAGACCAAGCTTTATCTTAGCTGGAAAACTTGCGACTTTCTTTTTAAATTTTGTAGCAATACCCTCTAGATTTTTGTTGTCCAGAAATATCTTTGTCAGTTTGTCAAGTTCTGTGTCGATTTTTGACTCTGAACGAATCCATTGCGCTCTTTGAGTCAATGTTTCGATAAGATTGATTTCTCTCTGTTTCGGGCAAAAGGAATTCTACCATGTGTATGACTGTGAAAATGTAGGTTTAAGATATCCTTTGGTAAGTGATCAAGTTCCGGACTTTTCAAAGAAAACATCTTAAAATGCCAAGGGCTCGTTTCCAGACTTTTCAATGTTTTCGTTTCCAGTTCCGGACTTTTCAAAGAAATCATCTTAAAATGCCAAATTATCAAAACCTTTATTGTGTAGACAGAAGGACTTCGTTTTCCATCCTTAGTGGCACTGATTGGGCAACCTTAACAGCCAGGTGTTCGCTTTTTGTTTCAAAGTATTAAATTCTAAAAAGTGTCAGAAGAAAAGTTTTAGTATGTTCAAGTATGCTTGCCTTTTCCAAAGCCATTTTGAAATTATAATTTTCATTATAAACTGTATCATCATTATTATCAAATGAACATAATAAAAGTGTTGACCAAATTTTTTTTAATAGAAAGTTTTCACTCCTATGAAACTCGCTAGGAAGGGAGAGCCTCTGACCTCCTTCTATTTCTGGCGACCCCCTTCAATGTGATCGTCACAGGAGAGTCTTTCGCAAAAGATTTTATCTTATAACTACTGTGGAGGCGCATCATTTAATCTTTACATTGAGGCCAGGATATTTTTTGTCTTTCCAAGGCTGGTGTTACTATTAAGGAGCTGTCTAGTTTTCATACTGCTCGATCTGATGACGTAATTGTTTTACCCTAAACCTAACCCTAAACCTAACCTTCAACCTAAACCTAGCCCTTATCCTAACCCTAACCCTTTACTTGAAATAATTAATCATGCTAATTTATGACTATCAGGTCGAGCAGTATGAAAACTAGACAATTCCTACTATTAAGGGGCCATAGAGGGCGACGTAATGGACTTAATTGAGTGCAAGCTGATTTTAAATCGTCTAATGGATTTCTTCTTTAAGGGTGGTTCATTAGTTGGTCAATTAACTAAAATTGGTCAAGAACAAATGTATCAACTTGGTAAGGCCTACAGAAAGAGATACGTCGAGGAGCTTGGACTTTTGTCACCAGACTACAACCATGAACAAGTATAGTAAGTTGGAAATAATTTTCTCTAAGTTTTCTAACATTTTTCTGTTATTCAGAATCTCCACAAATTTACATCCATTTACAACCCTCGCCAAATGCAATCCGAACATCATCAGCCTCTTTGATTTAATAACATGGAAAAATTACAGGCAAGTATTTATACTAAACTATTTATACACTTTTGTCTGCAGTATATATATATCTATACTTTTTTCCCCTTCCCTACCCGTAATGTTGTGTACACGTACAATTTCTGTTGTGACCTTTGACCTGCGATGAATGACCCATGACCCTTGCTCTTTGACTTATAATCTATGATTTATAAAAATTGCTGAAAATATACCCATTTATTCACCTAAATCCCAGCAAGGCAATAACACTGTGTTTGCCCCTACCTTCGCCGTATGTTTCCAAAACCTTCGGCATAGAACTACTGCCACTTCATACCTAATTTTACATTGCTTAAGCTGCAAGGCGCTTTTCTCGTCCTAGCGTGAGATCAACCAACATCAAACGAACCATCATGTCAGCTCGATGCGTTTTAGCAGGACTTTATGGCGATACACATCTTAAAGGTGAGTGTTGAATAAAGTATTCAGAGCAAACATCACCATCGTTGACTAAATGATACATTAAAGTCATCATCAAAACTTGAGATTTTGTTTGCGGTTACTGCGAGTGGATGTGTATTTGTAAATTGTAAAAATCTTGCGAAATTGTAAATAGGCGTAATTGTGAATTGTAATTACCATTTTGCCTTTCGTTATAGATATTTGTAGTAAAATTAAACTCAAGTTAAAATAGGATTTTTTTAGATTGTAAATATTGAATTGTAATTAGCATAATTTGTTTTTTATAATAATTTCTGTAAGTATTTTAAGTGGAGGGCCCCTTGAAAATCAGCATTGCTGAAGGGCTACCCTCCTTAAACATTTTAAATGAAATGAAATGAAATAAATGAAATGAAATGAAAATTAAATATTGAAATATCAATCATTGTTTGAAAATGTAATGAGAACAACAGTATCACCATCGTTAGAAAAAAGGCGGTGTCGCCATAAATTCAATGCTAATTTGGCCTCTTTTCTATCTTCAGGCCCAATCCCAATATTTACGTCAGTGAACGAACACGAGGTTCTGTATCCAAATTACTATTCCTGCAAGAACCTCAAGCACTGGGCAAAAATTGCTTGGACAACCTGGGAAAACATCCCCGGCCTAGTAGAATTCCTCGATGCAGTTGCCAAGGAACTAGGTTTCGATAGAAAGAAAGAGGAGTTTGGTATTATATCTCTCGAGGACAATGTGTGTGCCAGAGCTGTAAGTAAATTTCTAAGACCCCCTTTGCTTATTGCTGTTACCGTATCTTTATTGATTTAAGGCCCTGGGGCTATTATAAATTCCAGCACCTTTTTGGAGGTTGCCTACTCAATAGAATCGCTCATTCGACAAAGGGCGTTTAATTGAGGAAGTGTGGTATTTTATTTGTAATTCTTGTATCTTAAGGGATGTCAGTTTGATTTATTCTTCTTTCACCCCCCCTCTCACACCCCCCCCCGCTGCAACTTGTGCTGTGGCTTTTTAAGGCACAATGGAAAGAGTTGACAAGAACAAAGTTTCATTAACGATGCCATTTAAAGCATGAGAGGCATGGCCGTTCATTGAACATAACAACCAGCAATACGTTAACACTAAAGGCTAAAACAAAAATTTTGTGTATGTCACTCCTTGGGGATAACCAGCTAAGATACCCTCCCCCCCCCTCCCGATACAAAGAAAGATAAAGAGATTTCGGAGGCCCTGGGGAAAAGCCAAAGGTCCTCTATGAGTCAGTTTTTGCCACCACGCCCTTCTGATGACCGCGCCTTAAAATGCATTTCAGAAGTTTTTTGCAGTCACTTTCCTGCAATCATTTAAAATGTTTAAATCGTCTGATTAATTCCTTTTTAAAATTGAACTCATTAATTGACGAGGTCCCCTAAACGTAGTGGCTTTGGGACAATTTGCCCCTTGCCCCCTCTCGCCAGCCCTGGATAAAGAGATTACTGTTTAAATAGAAAGTTTGACATAAATTTGTGCGTAAAATGTTGTGATGATCTTTGGAACTATACATTACTAAGCATTGAATGTTTTAGAGGGAAATAAAAAGATTTATAGAGAAGGATAAAGTGATGTATGAGTTTAACCAGTTTGTTATTTGCTTGTGCGATAAGGAACTTTTTAATGTATAAACGAATTTTATCGTTGATTCTAAAATTGGTTTGTTTTGGTTATTTGGAAATCTTTAATCACAATATTTTCATTCATTGCTGTTTCTCTGCTCAAGATTTTTGTTTTCTTTTAGGCAAAGAATGAACCAATTCCTGAATTTTTAATAAATCGAAGAGATGAGATCGAGTCATTTGCAGTAGCCTATCAAATGCGGCTTCTTATTGGAACAGGCAAAAGGTTTGTACCCTCAATTTTGTATCAACTAGAGTAGCTTTACAAATCAGCACGATTTATTTGTCGCACCAATTCTTGTCGCATATGTTTGTTGGAGAGACGAGCGAGCGAAAATCTTCAAATGAGTGAGGCAACCCTCCGTCCTGGAGTCAGAGAGCATGCGTAATAATAACTTCGTTCCGTGCGCATGCTCTTCGACTCCATGACGGAGGGTTGTTGCCTCACTTATAAAAAAACTTTCTCTTGCTCGTCTCCCCAACAAATGTTGTAACATTCCACATAGGCACCAATAACTTGCAATTATGCTGTAATGACATTGTTTATAAAAACACCAAGTTAGTAAAAAAGAAGAAATACATAAAGACACACCCAGCCTCAAACTGAAAAGTCGGAAGAGAAATGTATTTTTTGCAAAGATTTACTCTCATGTTAACAAAACATAGAAGATTTCATCAGCTAATGATCCGTGCTGCTAGCAATTTCCTGCAATACTGTTATTTAGTTGTCTTGGTAACAATTTGTAGTATGTTGTTATAATATGTTGCTATCCAGCTTCGGCAAAAGTTATCTTGTTTTCATGAAGACGATTGTTATGCTAACAATAATGCCAAGCTAGCATAGGCCATTCGCAATTTTATATGCTCAACTAGCATTTAAGGGAACTCTGCATCAGGGCCCGCGTCCCAGGGTTGCAGGGAGCAGGGGACAGGGGGGCATGACCTCCTTATTTTTTGAAACCTTTAGATACAACAAATACTAAAGTCCACAAGATAAAAGGCGTCAGAACAATGTTTGCCACAATTGGGGCGGGAGGGGGTAAGAGGAAACTTTCTTTACACTGTTGGCCCCTCTAGTGTAGGATCAGTGGCACGGGCCCTGTGCCAGGTGAGGCTCGCGCAACGAAAAAGCAGAATGCTGAAAGTCTTTCTGCCTGCCTAGGCCAATCCTTTCAACTCGTAAACCTTCCATAGAAGAACGGTGTAAACGAGTTTTGTTTTCGATGTGTCATTTTAGTTTCTTTTATTTTTATTTGCTTGGCAGTTTTAAATATGTTGCCGACATGTATGAAGTCACGTCTCATTTTCCAAGACCTTTGACATTCATTGTCTGAATATGATTGCTCCAAACCATAGCTTTTCCATCAGAGTCCTGTATTGTCCCAGCTTTTCATGGTGGTGAAATCATTGCTGCTAACGAAAATTGAAACATTTTGATACCAAAGATTTTGTTTCGAAGAAGGGGTTGTGTTGTGTTATTTGTGCTTCAGGGAGGAGGTTGCTTTTGGGTAACCTGTGCTTAAGGGAGGAGGGTTGCTTTGAGTTATTTGTGCTTCAGGGAGGGAGATTGTTTCTGGGCAATTTGTGCGTTAGGGAGGGGGTTGTGTTGGGTTATCTGTGCTTCAGGGAGGGGGTTGCTTTTGGGTAACCTGTGTTTAAGGGAGGAGGGTTGCTTTTGAGTTATTTGTGCTTAAGGGAGGAGGGTTGCTTTGAGTTATTTGTGCTTCAGGGAGGGAGATTGTTTCTGGGCTATTTGTGCGTTAGGGAGGGGGTTGTGTTGGGTTATCTGTGCTTCAGGGAGGGGGATGCTTTTGGGTAATCTGTGCTTAAGGGAGGAGGGTTGCTTTTGAGTTATTTGTGCTTAAGGGAGGAGGGTTGCTTTGAGTTATTTGTGCTTCAGGGAGGGAGATTGTTTCTGGGCTATTTGTGCGTTAGGGAGGGGGTTGTGTTGGGTTATCTGTGCTTCAGGGAGGGGGATGCTTTTGGGTAATCTGTGCTTAAGGGAGGGGGGTTGCTTTTGAGTTATTTGTGCTTTAGGGAGGGGTTGCTTTTGAGTTATTTGTGCGTTAAGGAGGGGGTTGTGTTGGGTTATCTGTGCTTAAGGGAGGGGGTTGCTTTTGGGTAACCTGTGCTTAAGGCAGGAGGGTTGCTTTTGAGTTATTTCTGCGTTAAGGAGGGGGTTGTGTTGGGTTATCTGTGCTTCAGGGAGGGGGTTGCTTTTGGGTTACCTGTGCTTAAGGGAGGGGGGTTGCTTCGAATTATCTGTGCTTTACGGAGGGGGTTGCTTTTGAGCAATTTGTGCTTCAGGAAGGGGCTGCATCGGGATTATCATGAATAATACACTTAATTAGCTCGCTTTATATTTCTCTAACTGCAGTTAACTTTTATATGGAAATTCTGCGCATATTATTATCCGGAGAGGAAGGATGCACTGTGAAATTAGACCTTATCGATTGTTTTAGCTCTTGCAAGACTTATTTCCAGTGGCTTTGTTTTATTAACTTTTCAGTCACTCAATCGCACGTATGGCAATTGGTGCTTTCATAGAGGCATTGTGCACACATTTTGAAGACAAAGCTGAAAACCAAAGGTATCATGGGTCCTAAAATCTTAACCATGCCAAAACAACAGTAATCCATTTGTTAAACCCAGTCTTTCCACTTGCTGAATTTCTGTCAATTTTCAACAAATTTGACTTATTTTTAAGGTGTTCTTTTATTCAATTCTTCCAAGAAAATATTTGTCATGACGCTACACTTTAGAACTCCATTGAGCTCTTTTCAACGGTCCAATCAACAGTAAGGCTCACCAGAAACATTTTTTTAACAGTAAAAACATGCAGGCCAAGATATAGGGACTAACACTTGCAAATTGCGCAGTTCTACATGAAAACTTCTTTTAACTCCCCAATTGAACCCTTTTCCCTTTTTCTTTCAAATAATTGCAGCGACCTGAGGTTTATACTGTATTCTGCTCATGAAACAACACTGATGGCTGTTCTGCACGTCCTTGGTGTGTATGACTTCAAATGGCCTAAATACGCTGCCGACGTCAAACTCGAACTCTACCAGGACGAGGTTAGTCGATCATTATTAACCAAGCCACTCGGACTCATTTTCGTTTCATTGTTGATTGTTTTGTTACCATTTGGTTCTGGATGTTTCATTTTAGTTGTGATTATTATGTTGATGACTAAAACAAACCTTTTAATCAGTGGTGGACACCTGGGGGCAAGAAGTGGGAGCGGTCGCCCCAAATATTTTGAAGGACAATGATCTTTTGTTCTAAAACAATGGGAAAATATGATGTCATCGAATTAATACAAATATTTGACCAAGTGTCCGCCCCTGTCTTTGATTGAATAGGAAATTTAGTGCTTCATATTCTTTTTAGGGGGAAAAGACTCGTCTCCAATTTTCGGGGCTATTATTCTATCCGTTAGTCTGATCCAGTGAGAAAGGTCATCATGTGCGTTCAGGTGAAAGGTTGTTGAAAAAATTTGCATTTCATGGCGTTTCACAGCATTTAATCAAAACTATTATTTACCATAATTAACTATCCTAAATCCTCGAATTAGCCCCCTGGGGGCTTATTTATTTTTGATATTTTTGGATGGGGGCTTATTCGAAGAGGGGGGCTTATAAAATTATTGTAGACATTAAAAAGACATTATTAAAAGACCTCGTTTATTCTAGTAGAAATTTCTTTATGAGCATTTAATTAATTACTACCAGAAGTATGAATTTGTTGTGGTAATTCAATAAAACGCCATAGGCAACCTTAGATGGCAAATATCATCAAATGGATGGGTCCAATTTGAGAATTTACGGTAGCAGCGCGGGTTTTTCGAGAGAGAGAGGGGCTGATTGACAAATTGTAGTTCTTTGTGGCTTTTTCGAGAGGGGAGGGCTTTTTCAAGGGGGGCCTATTCGAGGATTTATGGTATCATGTATCTTGAAAAAACAGAGTTTCATTCTCACTCTTCTAGTAAAGCCCGTTTCTCTAAAATTTCGTTGTCTTTTGATTCAAGGCAGGCTTATTTGAAGAGCCACGATGTTCCTTCCACAGAATACATTACGCGATGTACAAATAACGCCATTGGTTTCAACTGCGCATGTGTATATATATGTAAATGGAAATTAGGCTTTAACAACAGTAAGTGGTTTCTTAGCTGCACTGCGCCAAGGGCAAATTTAGGATCATGGCCTATACCATGACAACCTATATTGTGTTTTTTACATCTTTTCATTTCTAAAATTCGCTATAAAAACCGTTTCGACTATTTTGATTCTGATAATTTTGGTTCTGATTTTCAATTTTGTTTTCCAGAATCAAGGCTGGTTTGTGAAGCTTCTTTACAACGACAAGGTAATCGGCATTGGATTGTTGCTGCTGTTGTGCTGCCTTTGCTATTGCCATTGTCTACGTTGGTGTTGTAGTTGCTGCTACTTCTTTTCGTTGTTGCGGTTGTTGTCAATATAATACACTTGTGTTGTTGTTGCTGCTACTGCTGGTTTTTCTTTTTGTTGTTGCCGCTGATGGCACTAATATAGCTTTTTGTTGTTGTTATTGTTAATGCTGCTGCCTTTGTTGCTGCTACTGCTGGTTTTTCTTTTTGTTGTTGCCGCTGATGGCACTTATATAGCTTGTTGTTGTTGTTGTTGTTGTTGTTGTTGTTGCTGCCTTTGTTGTAGTTACTACTGCTGTTTGTCCGTTGTTGTTGTTGTTGTTGTTGCTACTGCTCTTCTTCATGTTGTTGTTGCTGTTCTTACTGTTCATGCTATCGTCGCATCTTTTGTTGTTATTGTAATGTTGACTCAGTGTCATTAAGCACAGCCTATGTATAACCACAGAAATACATTTATTGTTACGCTCCCTATCTCCGCGGCAGGTTGTGAATTTTAAAACTCTTCTCCGTGAACGAAAACACTTTAAATTTTCTTATTTGTGCCCAGTAGCGTAACGGAGGCACCCAGGGAGAAAACTAATACGGGGCTCCTGTTTGCAAGAAATTCCAATCTAGTAATCAAGCTCTATGGCAAGATGTAAAAATTATGTTTCCAGTGGCGTCACGTGACCATTCTCGCTGGGGGGTGTAAAAGATGCAAAATCATATTTTATCGACAGAAATTCTTTTGTTACGTTTCGTTATAAATTTAATTCTACCGACGAGTTCTCTGAAAGTTGGGGGGTGTACACCCCATCCCCCTCCCCGCACGCTACGCCCCTGGATGTTTCCCTCTCACTAGGGAGATGGGGCTGTGTCATTTGATTGAAAACATGTATATAAGCATAAATGGGGGAAAAGTTTGATTCAGGGGCCCTTGGTTATCGAGCTAAGCTGCCCTAAACTGCGTTACACCACTGTGTATGCTATTGAGCTCCAAATCTGTACAGTTTTATTGCTTTTTTACGCTTTATTTCATGAGTAATAAATAGCCTTTTCAACCCTACCCTCTATGCAATTCAACCATGGTAAACCAGCGTTTATAGACAATCAAGTTCTACAAAGCGGAAGGCTGTTTTAATTATTCTTAGCTAGATTTTAAATACAGAAGTCTCTTGTAATTGATCCTATCCTAATGGCTCGAACTAATTTTTGGTGCATAGTACATGTTGATTGACATCAATATCAACCACAAATCTTAAAAAAGACTGGATCGAGCTTCTCAAGCCCAGCGTTTGTTCCACATTGCAGCGTCCATGTTGAGATCTCGCCGTGAGGCTAGAGAGCAATAATGTTGGTTTTAGTTCTACTTGCTTTTCCATAGCATAATTCAAAGTAACCGTTAAAATAAAAACCTGCATCTTTTCTATTGTAGAGCAGGTTAAAATGGAAAATTTATCTGTTGCTTATTGTAGTTTTTATCCTATAATATACCTCGTTTTACATTTCATCAGGATTTGACACTGCCAGGGTGTGGAACGCCTGTTTGTCCTCTTTCAAGGTAATGACCATTTATTGCTTTATTGCCTTTACCAGCAATTGTAGGCCGTCTTTGATGTCTAACTCCTTGAAAAAAGTCATAATGTACCAGCATTAGTAGACTTTTTCACTCCTTGAAAATACTTATCTTGTGTTTTTCCTGAGTGGCGTTTAAAATTTAGACCTTTTTAATTTTCTGACAAACCCACGACTCTCTGGAAATTCCCATGTTTTTAATTGTTCTACTCTGTTTTGTGGAGGACTTCCAGGCACCGCGGAGGGGGGGGAGGCTGGGGGGCTTTAGCCAGAAACCTGAAAAGCCTCTTTTTATACGGTTTTAGCCCCCCCTCCACTTTTTTTAGACCCCCCCCCCTCCACTTTTCCCAACGCCTCGCGGTGCCTGACTTCACATTCTAATCGGATGATCTTGCTTGGCTTAGGCCCTTGTAGGTATAAATGTGCCTGGTTTTTGTGTTCATAAATCGTAGCCTATGTGCCAGATCAAAACACATGCTAGAGCATCTCGTTTTAAGGTCATTTAAACAATTTTCAGGTTTTTGGAACTTTGTGAGCCATATCGTGTGAAAGACTGGTATGCAGAATGCGGCATCAAAGGAGAAGGGGTAAAAGAGAATGTCCCTACTGGTATTATGTAGACAAAAACTGCCATGATGGGCCACAATGGTATCAATATTAAATCTGGCGTGCATACTGCAAAGTACTTTGAACGGCAATACCATCACGTACATTACATCTTATGAATAAAGGACAATACTTTTTGGAGACTCTTCTCAAGCTTTCTTTGAAAACACATCTTTTTAGATATCCTTAGAAGCACATCTGTTTTGTAGATCGATTATAAAAGAATGATTTATTGATTAAAGTCAGTCTGTCCCCTTCGTGATGTTCAGGGAAATTACGCTTTTGTGGTTCCTCATTCTGATTGTTTATTTGTGCATTGAATTAACGATGCATGAATATCGTGGCCATGAAAAAAGATTCTTAGAACAACGAGGGACATACTGCCTTTTAGTGACTGTGAAAGTTTCTGAGAAAATTTTAAAATCTTGTTTTCAAAATGTACAAGAAGATGCCTTTCCCAAAAAATTCCCAAAAAATTCGCAGGCCCATAAATACATAGCAGATGGATCACACCCATGACGTTAAAGACAGAACAACAAAGGCTTACTGGAGCCCTCCTCCTCACAGATTTGTTTATATGGGTTCCTTTACTCACAACGTGCTGAAATATATAGCGTAAAGCTAGGTACATTATAAATTACGTGATTAAGAGGCTGTTTGGTGTATAGAACAGGACAGCTCTAAGTTCTGAGTTTCACGCTTGAAGCCTGATTAGCACTAGGCGAATTCTTTCACATGAATCGAATAAAGATTCATGGCGATAAAGTAAGAGCGTGATCTACTTTCTGCAAATCGAATTTTTTCGCTGCGAAATTTGAGAACATGACACCACGCATGCTCATATTGGAAAAAATTCGATTCGCGCGAAAGAATTCACCTCGTGGAAATCAGCCTCAATTGATTAGGATTGTTGATTAAGAGGCTAGTTATAAAAAGGAAGATACTCCAATTACACTGATCAAAAGGCTGTTTGGTGTATGGGACAGGGGACAGGGGACAGGGGACAGGGGACAGGGGACAGGGGACAGGGGACAGGGGTTTTGTTTATTAGTGTAAACATGGTTAATGTATTCCCCAGTAGGTATGTACGATATTTATTAATTGTTGAGAGTGCAGAAATTAGATGTTTATAAATTATCACTTTATTCTGCATTTTCCAATATAGTTTCTTATTTACTTATTTATTTATATATTTAAGTGCATATTTTCATTCAAATGCTATTTTGTTTTGACGATGTTAACTTGCCTTCAATCTATCTTGCCTTCTCTAGCTTTCTAACTTGTTTTGTTTTTCAATTGAGCTGTTTTACATTGCGACGTCGCGATCAGGATGACGTCATTTGTTGGAAACTGGTTACTACTACTACAGTCTTCAGAAATATTACGTCACAAAAGATGTTTTTTCGAATTTTGGTTTGGTGGTTAGGATTACGAGCAACAGATCCAAGAGCTCGTGGTTTGAGTCCCTGGCATGACCCAACTCTGACCCGGAGTAAGAGAGGTCGCCAGCTCTCTGCGGTACCAGTTACACTATACCGGATTGCTATCAGAGCGGAGTAACTTTCGTATCGGACAGGGATTTGAGTTGCACTACGCTACACTTATCAGAAAAATCACTCCGCTCTGGAGGTGATACGAAAATCACTCCGGAGTCACTCCGTAGCGGAGCGCTGTAGTGTATTCGCACGAATCCGATATGCTCCGCTCGGAAACAAAGGATTTTCTCATTGTTTTTTGCTTGAAGCAATTCGATCGTTGGTGAACAATGGCGATTTCTGAGATTTTGTTGCTGTTGGATAATGCCAGACTGAAATCGTCCCAACATTTTCGTATTTGGATTTCATCTCTTCCAAAATTTTATTGAAGTGGCCCTTGGACGAAAAACATACTTTAACACATCAGATAGCAACACAATCTTGCTATGATTGTGTTGCTATCTGATGCTACGAATCCACGAACTCCATCACTTATTTCCCAATTTTCAGGGTTGTTTTCGTCATTATATGCATAGCTATTGAAAAAGAATTCGCAACAGCACGTGGATTCGAAAATATCATCAAAACATTTAATCTGATGGATTTTGTGTACCAGAAATGCAAAGAAATACAGGCTTATGAGCGAGCGGAGAATCGTAGTATAACTGCTACCCTAAATATCACTCCGGAGTAAAAGTTACTCCGCTCTGCTCCGCTCCGATAGCAATCCGGTATAGTGCAACTCTGGCCTGTAATTCCAGGCGTAGGAATCACAAAGAGTGGTCACATCTAAAAGAAGGACTAGGACATTGCTCGATAGGACGACTGCTCTTCGGTGTCCTAAAACTATCTTTGGATGCTAGGTGACAATACAATACAATACAATACAATACAATACAATACAATACAATACAATACAATACAATACAATACAATACAATACAATACAATACCCTCGAATGTTAGGAAGCGAACACAAAAAAGATTGTGGATTGAGCTGCCAATGTTTAGGAGCAAATATGGTTTACTGTTAACAAATGCAAATGATTTAGATCACAGAATTCATTTTAGTTTCTGAATCTACAGGCACTAATTACCCCCATCGTGTGATGTGCTGAAAGAGTCATTTCTGACTTGTGTCATAACCATCGTCTATCGCACCCAGCAGGGAAAAGTAATATTGTACTAATCCCATACATTAAGGCAGCTTTAGATGAAATATGATTCGTAAACAAAACAAAACCCAAAGCACATCCTTGTGAAGCATTCCGTACAAAACCGTCGACACCTGCAGCTTTCAACTGATTTTCAATTAACTTTTTCAAACTAAAAGGCTCCTGTAGGACTTTGATTTATTGACTTATGCAATGGCAGCTGGCTTCAAGTTTGTATTTATAGATAAAATTTCTGTCGCGAAAAGTACTAGCTCCATAGATGATCCTTGTGTCAAGCAAGACGTCTGACATTACATTCAACTATTATTCATTGTCTGAGTCCAACAAAGGGTTGATTGAGTTAAAACATAAGCATGCTTTTGTACTCGTAATTGTAAAAATTCTTCGATAATAATTCCCTTTATTCGTCTACCTCGCTGTTCTTTATACAAACGAATAAAAAGTCCAATTATTTTTTCTTTTATTTACTTTTAAAAAGCCTAATTTTATAATGCTTTGTGATACAGTTAACGAAACATATGTTTTGTGTTTAAGCCGTTTAGGCTGCAGGTCCGGCTTTTTCACCTGTCATTTGTAACCCAGGGAAAGTCTGAGTCTATGTAAACTCTCTTTAGATGAACTCAGTGTAATCAAATTACAGACGTGCAAAGTAAGAGGTTACGTTATGATATAATCTAGCGCGGATTCTTGAAAAAGGAGGACTAACGGTTGATTACTGTCAAATGCAATTTTATTTAACATATCATCAACATAGTGTGGTGGTGTAGAAGAAAATGGACACGCCCAGGCCGAGAGGACGGTTTGTTAAAGATGAAACACAATCCACGAGGAGCCCTAGGCTGCCACGCACGAGTAATATAACTGTTAGTCAACAAAATGGGCCTAGCATGCGATATTCAAAGATCGCGAAACCAATGACTGTTGTCGACAGGAATCTTGTTAATTTGAAACAGCGGACGGAGAGTGAACACGTGAATGCAGAGAGTACGACAGTCGAAGCTGAGCAGAAATCAAGCTTAGGTAACGTCTGTTTGGAATTTGGTGATGGTGATGTTCCCCAGTCCAAGATTGAGAAACCAAAGCTGAAGACATTTGCACAGCCAAATACACCAAGTGCGAACAGAAAAAGTGGACGAAATGCTACGGGCGTCAAGGCAGCAAATCTGGAAGAAACTCATGACAAAATGTCAATCGAATCGAGTAAAATTGTTTCAGAATGTAAATCTTCAAGGGAAGACCCTAATTTGAGACAAGGAGAGTCAAAAACAAAGGAAATTCCAGAGCCTGTAACTTCCAGAATGAAATGCAACCAATTTGGCTTTCAAAAGGAAAGAGTAGCGAAGACGTTTCTAGAGAAGAAAGCAACACAAAACAAGCCAAAGGTTGTGAGGATGAATTAAGAATGAACGAATGTTTTGAAGCAGAAGATGTAAACAGATCAAAGAAGCCATTACAAAGTGATCCGCCCAGCGGTTTCTTACCAGTGAAGCCAATACAAAGCAGTTTAACTAACAGCAGCTTGTCCGTTTCTAAGACGATGAAACCTGCTGAAATGTCACGGGAATTAAAGAAACCATTGCAATTTGATTTAAAGAAACCAGTGCAATGTGAATTTGAGAAACCAAAGCAATGCGAAGTCGTGGGATATAAGCAAAAGGATGAAGACATTTTCGAAACTAAAACAATGTCTTCAACTAGAAAGCGCGAAAGTCCTAAGATTATTGCGAATGTCAAAGAATTGAAGGATAACAGTGAAAAAGCAGATATTACTAAAAGCGATGAATCGGTTAAAAGGTCGTTGAGTTTTGGTTCCCCTTTCAATCTTGTTAATCAAAAAGGGAGAGTCGAACAGCACAGGAAGAGCGAAACAGAGAGAAATGATGCTTTTTGTGAAAAGGAAAAAGTGTTTTCTTTGGGATATGTTGGACAGAAAAAACCTGTAAAGCAAGGAGAGACTGAGGATAGTTTGGAAAATGTGAAATCTACGAAAGCAAAAAGATACGAAGCTTTTAAGTACGATGAGCGACAGGAAATCAAGCCTAGAGGGAATGCTACTGTAAACAAGGGACATGTTAGTAAATCTTTAGACGGGGGACAGCAAAGGGCGAATCATAAGATTATTGGTTCAAAAGAGCCTGTAATTACCAAGAGGGTTGCAATCGGGGGAGATTCAGTTGACTGTAATG